CAGGAGACTCGCTTGAGCCCAGGAGTTGGAGGTTGCTGTGAGTGTGATGCCATGGCACTCTACCCAGGGGGACAGCTTGAGGCTCTGTCTCAAAAAAGAAAACTAGCCAACCATGGTGGTAGGTGCCTATAGTCCCTGCTTGTCAGGAGGCTGAGGATCGCTCAAACCCAGGAGTTTGCTGTTGCTATGAGCTAGGCTGACGCCACAGCACTCTAGCCTGGGCAACAGAGCAAGAGTCTGTCTCAAAAAAAAAAAAGAGAGAGAGAGAGAAAGAGTATGTTTACACAGTCAGAAAGTACACAGAAGCTTTTCAGTGAAATGCTCCCTGCCCCCATCAGCCCCGTGTCTCCTGCCCACCAAGGTGGCTGCCGTCATTAACATGGACAGTCTCCTCCCTCCAACTCAGATGGCACCGTGGGAAACACATTTATGTTTCCTTAGTATTTCTTGGAGATCTTCTCTTATCAATACATAGAGAGCCCCTTCAAAGGCCAGGGTTGGTGACACAGTTGATGCTGGCAAAATTGGTTTTGCAACCACTCTGGTGTCCTGAGAGGGCAGCCTCATGCCTGGTCTCAGCATGTGGGAAACTTGGCATCTACCATTACTTTTTCTTCTGGCTCAGGCAGTTCCGCTGAAATGCAGCCATTTTAACAGCGTGCACGTGGCTCGGGTCCATGAGCTCTCAGTCTCAGGCTTTGTTCTCCTGCTGTGTCCACATCTTCTGGAGTTGCAGAATCAGTCACACACCTGGAAGAAGCATTTTTGGGGGGCCCACTGTGGCCACTGAGGTCAGGGACAGGGGTCCTCCAGGGAGGACCATGGACTCCAAGTAGCAGGTTGATACTCAGAGCCTTTTCTGAGATGCTGTTTCTGCTCTCAGTGTCTGCCAGCAACTGGACTGCAGATCTTTTGGGGAGGTCAACCCAGCACCCCAGCGGTGCCTGACTTACTAGCATCTCCTAAGTCCAGTTAGGGGTAGACTGGAGGCCAATATTCAGGTCAGGGGCCCCCTCAGGGGGCCACATTGACACCCCCTCATGGAGATTTATCTCCAGAACCAGAGAACCTTGTGCCTGCGAAAAGAGGGTTCAGTCACCTGCCACTGTCAGCCAATATGCAGAGAAGGGGATAGGTCCACCAAACCTTATTTGTCAGAAGGCTGGGATTCTGGAGAATAGTGAAAGTAGCCTCTCTAAGACTGTTTTGTTCTTCCATTTCCAAACCCACTGTTTTATATACGCAAAAACCACATTAACCCTTAACTTAAAAAATAATAGTCAGCATAACTCATGACCTATCACAAATAATAATCAGTATAACCCATGACCCAAAACAACATTCCAATTCAAAAGTTAATCTCCTAGGCCAGGTGTGGTGGCTCATGCCTGTAATCCTAGCACTCTGCGATGCTGAGGTGGGTGGATTGCCTCAGCTCACAGGTTTGAGACCAGCCTGAGCCAGAGTGAGACCCCTGTCTCTAAAAATAGTGAGATGGTGACACCTGTGGCTCAAGGAGTAGGGCACAGGCCCCATATACCGGAAGTGGTGGGTTCAAACCCAGCCCTGGCCAAAAACTGCAAAAAAAAAA